ACTGAAAACCATTATTGCCCTCCTTTCCTAAAAATCGTACCGGTCTTCGATTTAGGTCCAATAGGTTGGGCAATCGACTTTTAACAAAAGTATAACAAACAACTGCTGGAAAATCGGTCTCTCTGTTGCTTTTGGAGATCAAATGTTCGACCTAGGGCTCACTAACAGTAAAGATCTCGACTGCGCATAGTACTCAGTTTTTGCTTGAGACCAGGATTTTTGCTTGCCATCTATCCTAGCTAGGACCAGCATCTATACATACATTCATTCTTCGCGACAGCCTTCCGGCACTGTTGGAGTCCATTACAAATCATGCCAACTAAATCGTCCACTGNTTAGTGACGTCTTCCGATCGTCTGAGTCAAACTTTACACCGACAACGTTTGGAATGACAGTGTGCGCTTTCATTAGGTTTTGGTTTGGTGCATGTATTCCACGTTTCATACACCAACCATTACTCTGTTTGACGAGCACTTGCTTATGCATCATTTTATCGTGGACAGTACAACATTCAGCTAACCAGTGAGCAAACCTTAGACCGGAAAGATTAACTTTCGCAACCATTGAGTGACACTGCTCTTTAGGCTGTCCAGTATACGGTGCCAGTAAATCTGTTTGCTGACGCGATAAAGGATGCACACTGGTGCGTACGTCCCGGATTAAACAGTCATCGATGTATCTAAGCTGATCAACGAACTTGGGGTCTTCGTCTGGGAGTTTCAAAACTGATTCGAAATCCTGAGGCAAAACATTGCCCTTTGAATGGGCAAAACGCATTCCAAAACAGAAGACCCTGCTTACATACGATGTAATGCAAACTTTGCGAACAAATGGTCGGCGAATGACAAAATAATCTCGTCCGCATACGCCGAATCCACTGATTCTTTCAACACCCGAATTTATGGTTTCTTGGACTGAAGATTTAATGTCTGCACTAAGCGCTGGCGAACCCTAATAGTTATGAAATGTACGCTCTGGACCCGCCACAACAATACGGCACGAAGTACAGATAGAAAGTGCCTAAAGAAGTGCACAGGGGTCATTCTGATCCCGTTCCTTTTCAGTCAGACGATGTTTCTTCGACCTATCTCACCAATATTGTTCCCGGTGCACATGACTGGCAGAGAGCTGCCAAGAGGAGAAACAAGACTTGATCTCCTGTTCTGAAAATACCAAGGGTAAACTACCCGCCCCCACGACCCAGAAGTGTTTCCAAAACGATATTCCATGTAGTACGTCTGCAGTTTCATCCTATTACAGCTGAAAAAGTGCCTCCGGAATTCGCGATGGAAACACACGATAGCTTGGTATCCAATTCAATTCAATTAATCAGCTATAAACCCTGTACATAGGCACATTGGTTCCAGCTGCTACAGTGGCGAGCTGTGGTTGGTGACGAGTGGCGAGTGATGAGTTGAGTCCGGGATCTCCATCCAGGGAGACGACAGTTGTCGACCCGACTCAGTTTACTGTTTTCATACTTCCTTGCCAGGTCACAACACAGTCCACTTCTATGTCACTTCTACTCAGCACAGGGCTGGGCAAAAAGAATTCTGTGAGACAGACGGTCTTCTCCTAACCGGCGTAAATTATGAAGCGTGAGTAATAAATCAATCACAAGAGCCTTCCTTATTTCTAGGACCATCTGACGTACCTCAACATTACTAATCCGACGTTCCCACCAGACCTGATGACATCTTTCGTATGTCCTCTGCACCTAAAGGCCACGCCTCTGATCCATTAAGCGGTATAGATCACACCACCAGCGTAAACTCTGCCTTGACCGACAGCCTGACGTTGGAGGTTGGCAAAAGCTGTCTTGACCCTCCCGATTCGAGAATTAATCTCACCTCCAGTCAGTCCACCGGAACTTATACAATTGCCAAGGCAAACAAAGTTATCTACCATGTCGATTGGCTCCTCTGCAAGCATGAGGTTTGAGTATGATCCAACCCAGTCTTGGGGAAGCACTTTACACTTTGCAGGTACGAAGCGCATGTCAAAACATGCGGCGGAGGTATTAAGGTTAGTTAAAATCGTTTGCATTTAAGCCAAGGAGAGCAATACCGTCCGCATACTCAGTGTCTCCGAGCAAATATCGCGAGGGCATTTCGATCCCTGAGGTTCTGGAAGCAGGTATAAAAATTTCAAGCAGCACATCAATAACAAAGCTGAAGTGGAAAAGCGAGATGGCCAGCTTATCTTACACCAATGGATGTGAACTCAGGTGAAAGCTTCTCATATACTCGTACGCGTCCACAGGAGTTCGCATACAGAACCCTCATAAAGGATATATATTCGGAAGGGAAACTTCTGATGGCAAGACAACATCAAAGTTTCTGACGATCGACGGAGTCAAAAGCAGCCATCAGATCAACGAAAACGACCAACGTGGGAAGTCTTAAACAGTGGTGCTGTTCACGAACTTGTCTCAAGGTAATGATATGGTCGATGCATCTTCGTCCGGGGCGAAACACAGCTTGATTCTCGCGAATCTCTCTGCCAATACTCCACCAACCTGCGCAAAATAATGCTATAGGGAAACTTAGATGCGACGTATACTAAGCTGATGACACGATGGTTATCGCATGGTGCCCCTGGACCCTTTTTGAAAACTGGGATGTGGTTGAGCAGTGGTTTTGTTTTCGTTCCGAATCTTCAGGATGATTGTCAGATTGTACTCCAGGATCTCGCCATCTTTGAAGAGTGCATGGTGCGGACCATTCAGGCCTTGGCGCGTTGGGGGATTGATATCCCCCGCTGGATTTCTGTCGTTATTGGCTGGATGGCGGCGATGTTCCAATCAGGCCAGCTGGGTTCTTCCAGCGGTTGTGTTGAAGGCGCTTCGTATCCAAACCATCATGCCTAATTTATAGACAAATGACTCTGTTTGCATCGGATGCAAAATGACGAGGAAAAATCATTGGCTGCATGACTGTCCTCCCAATACTGATGTGGACAACTCCAATGGCATTCCCAAAAGGGAGGCGAAGAAATTTGTTCTCAGTTAGAAAATATTTGGGATAAATTTTTTCATCACAGCTGTCGCGGACAAACGAAGAACATCAAGGGGGTAGTCACAGCAAAGGGCATTACGTTCAAAAGCTCTTTCCAGTGTGAGCAGCTTGCGTATTGTTCAAGTTGACTCCATTTCTGATCTACTCAGAGTAACGTAGTAGTTTGGATGGGATACGTTCGATTCGACTCTCACAGTGGCCTACACAACATATGCCGAAAACCGTTCAGCCTTATAGTGACCCGGTTTATGACTCACAGCAACACTACGTTCATTGCGATGCACGACGCTTAAATAAGCTCAACGGATGGGTGTTAAGATTATCGGATTTTGGCGAAATCTAACCTGGCCCACCTGATCGAAGAAGCCACCAATCGTGCGACTTGCTCATCCCAACTATTTTTACTTACCAACCTGATCGATCTACATTTCATATTCTATCTAGTTTGTCGATCAGCTGGAAAACATTGTGGATTGTTTTGCCGATAGTTAACCTGATTTATGACAGTCCTATAAGAAAAGGCACATTCTAGTCCCTGTGTGCATTTGTAGAGGCCCTGTGCTTCACTACTGCCAGTCGACTGTGGTCGGGATTTCGACCGAAACATCGATGGATTATCCAAGGTAGAGTGCTATCTATTACTACACTTGCTTATCTATTGTAGTAATACCGCGATTTAGAAAAACGAAAATACGACTGGCCAAAGCTAAGCCAACGGAGATAGGTTTCTGACTCACTCAGTTAGACCAACTGCAAGATCAGCATGGAATTTACACCAGCACAGAGAGCACACATACAAAACTACACACGCAAAACGAAGTGTCAGAAGAAGGTTAAGCGAATAAAAATGCTCAAACGGGAAAAACGTACGCTTTGGTCAAAGGAGACCATCTAGGTGTAATAGAACGCCACGATGGATGAATACATATTCGATTCAAAGTGAGGAATTCGTGTTCATCAATATCTTGTTCCGCCTGGTACGCGTGACTAATCTCGTTGGAAAGTGAAGAGAATATAAGCCTAGAAAAGAAGGTCTACGTAGTGTGAAGCCACACTAGTATTACATGGAGGGGGGCGTTTATTATGACCGATCGTGATCTGCCAACTGTTTTCAATATCATCAGGTTTGTTACTAGGGTTGATTTGGAATTTCCTCTAGGCATTGGCGAAAACCATGTAGAAACCTTGAGTATGTAGTATCTTCACTAGAAGCATTGAATATAATGTCATTCCAAATTAAGCATTGTATTAAGTGATCAAACTCGTTTACCAATCACCACAGGATTCGTTCAAGTTACACATATTATGTGGATTAGTGAAACTGAGCTCTAAGAGACTAGAGAACACAGATAGCACGAACAGAATCACGCTAAAAGACATGAAGAGGATGAACCTTTAGGTTCACATCACTCTAGACAGGATTCGCTAGACATGGAAGACAGCTGCAGCAAAGTACGGATTGTACGCCCTGATACAGAGGTGAGAACCTGAATGATTGATTTCCTTGAAATTAGGAAACCCTGTGTGCAGGTTATTTATGTGATATACATGCGAAGAAAGCGCGAGGGCTGAAATACTGTCAAGTTGCCCAAGCCTAGACTGAAACAACCGAAATGCTGAGATCGGATTCGAACCACGGACACTCAGGTCAGTAAGTTCGCACCTCAACGACTGAGCATAATAGAACTCGATGTATGTTACATACGAGGTAGGCATTACATGTTCCGTACGTACACGCGCATAATGCACAATCAGTCCTATAATAAGACCAAGAATAGTAAAATGGTGCCAACTGCATATTTCTTGGTGCATATGGAACGGTGAACGCGGATGATCTGGTAGCTAATCCATAATCTTATCCATCGGACAGCTTAAAACGCGCCGACAATAAACGTCCAAGAAAAGCAAGCGCCACAAACCTTTTGTGCTTGAAGTGATGGCGATCACGGCTATCCGACCGACTTCGTTTGCGAGACCGATGAGATTCCCTGAAAAATATATGTTCCGTGTGCATCTTCAAATGTGACAAGAACAGTAGCTTTAAGAACACTTAAGAACAATGAAAACAGCTCAAGTGAACTGGGGTGAATTTAGATTGGTGCTGAGATGAACGGCTTCAAGCAGAAGGAAGGATACTAGGGTTTCTGACGGTAATTCTGGCATAAATGGCCGGCAACACTGGCGTTAAAACCGATGGTCAAGGCATCTATATTGAGAAAAAAATCGGCAAGCAGGTCAAATACTAATCTAAGCAAAGCGACCGAATCCCAGTGCCTGTAGCCTGGACTATTAGGGTCATTTTCTCTGGCTCTCTAAACATCAGGGCTCATCAACACATGTTGACATGCCAAAGAGAAGTTGCGAATTTCAAAGGCGACGACGTACGGTCACCCGGACAGTTTACCTTTCGAAATATCCACCATCTTCACCATGATAATGCCGCCTGCTACGCCTTGATCCGCGATCTTCATTAGAACTGAAAATTAAGGCAAACAAGGGTAAAAGTTGAAAATCTGATCTGAAACAAGAAGAGATCCAGGAGAAAGTAGAGTGAATCCAAAACGAGCGATCAGAGAAATGACATAGACAGGAGGGTTTCCACCATAAATCTCCGCCATTCGAATGACTGATCTCCGAAAAAATCAACGTCTCGTTTCGATAGGACAACTATGTACAGAAGTTTCAGGAAAAAATACGGTTTTCTGTCGACACACAAGACAATTTTAAAATGAATATGTCGAAACCTTCGAACACTTGGTGAGCTGGGTTAAGCTCAAATCTGAGAAGGAAAATCAGTAAAACAATAGACAGAGCAACAAGTGACCAGGTTCGCTGAGCAAGTTTGCCCACAAATCAACAGTGAACAAAGTGTAGAAACTGCGGAAAGAGCCATTACAGGGCATGGAAATGCTTGCTCGAGAACACAAAAGTACACCAGTCCTATAGGATTGTTAAACCGGAAGGAAGTAAATAGTTAGGGGCGGCAGCAGGCCGACCGACTTGACAGATAAATGGATTAACTCTAAGCACTCGTGGAGACGATCAAGTTACCATACACTGTTTCATCCTATCTCCCAGTTGCATTGCTCTTAGTCGGATAGGCGAAATCTCGTCCAGCTGTAGCACCCTAGCTGCTTAGCTGCCATACCACCCGAAGTACAAGGACTGGGATACTTCCAGGTTGCCCAAGCCTAGACAAAGGAAGTCGAGAGGCAGAGGTCGGTTTCGAACCACGGACCTTCCGGTCAATAAATTTGCGCTCTAACCACTGAGCCGTCTCGGCGGAATCTCGCACCGAGACCGCTTTAATGCCACAGTTAGGCGCTGCTACGGCCAAGAAGCATATCCCGCAGGACACTGGCTAAGAAACCGAGTGATTTGCCGGTCCAGCTTCGAGGCGAACTCCGATCGGCCGAAAGTGTGAACCACACAACCAATCATGATTCAGTGTTCGCCGTGTCAGGACAATGGCGTGTCTAGAAGGCGTTGCCCCAAATACTTCATATATGGCGAGCTGTACAATTGTGTTATACCTGGTTTCAGGCGTTTACTACACGTTGTGCACACTAGCTTAAAGGTTCAAGGCGAGAAGTGAGCTGAGGCATTAGCGTTATTACACGGTGAGATATGGAAATATCCCAACGATGAATTCGGCGCATTCAACGCAAACTTACCAGCCAGATCGAGTCAAGCGGAATTCATTTTTGTGATGAGTTAGTGTATCGAGTATGGTTATGACGTTTCCTCAATAACGCAATAATCCGTTGGTAAATTTGGAGCAGTGGTACACGGCATCTCTACTGAGATGCTTCATATTGTGGAGTTAAGCCAAACACTGGGGGAACCAAAAGGTGTCACACTACAATGTTGACGTCTTTCCGATACACAGCACACATCAATGCGAAGCAAGTCCATCATGAGAGCGAGAGCAGCTTGTTATCCTATCTGCTTTAGAGTGTGAACATTTAAAACGACCAGAGGGACTGTGCATCAAGGCTAGACGACTAATTCCGGGCTACCTGGGGATGCCGTTGCCGGATGGAGCGCAGATGTTGCTTGCAAAATCTATGTAGGATGAACGGAATCATCAGTCTTGAATTATGGACCTACAAGAGACTCGCTACTGGGATGTACGAAGGGGAAAAGAGAAAGAAGGCGTCAGCAGTCGTTTACCCACCCTGTTGTATGCAGCAAGTAAGGTGACCCGGCTGGTGGCACAACGCCAAGGCTGATATGGCATGAAATTATCTGTAAGTGTGAGGGCGAGGTGGCCCAAGTGGTTAGAGCGCGAATTTACTGACCGGAAGGTCCGTGGTTCGAATCCGACCTCCGCCACTCGACTTCCCCTGTTTAGGCTTGGGCAACCTGGCAGTATCGCAGCCCTCGTGCTTCCTTCGGGGGGGGGGGCATGGCAGCTAGGCACCGGAAGGGTGCTACACCTGAACACTTTCTCTTTTCCTTTCTTTCTATCTGTAAGTGTGTAATTCATGTGTTGGGATGCTACGCCAAGACGGCAAGACGACTAGAGTCCTTGGCCAAAGCTTTGGGCTCAAATGCCTGACCAAAAGGCGGCGATGTTTGGAGGGAAATGCATGTGCATTACCATTTCTATGGAACTAGTTACCACACATGACCCAACCCCCAACCTGGAGGACCAGGAGGTTGTGTTGGTCAGAACATTGAGCAAACTGGTATGAGACTCTGCGCGCACGGACAGCCAGCTCACTGGTTCACAGATGCGCACGAACCACCAAAGTACGGTCAGGTTCAGTCTCTTCATGAGAGGCTGGTCGGTTGCATTGTGTTTCGATTGATGGATGCTCAGCTAGTTTTTAAGTCTGGCTAAGCTAGCTCCTAACTGATGGTCCTGCTTCTATTAGCTCTAGAGTGGATCCGTTCCGCTGAAGCTGTCCGACTAAGTTGCTGATTTTTAACTTACGTAAGTGTGTAGATTAAGCTCAGCGTGATATGTTGCATTATCGACTTTATCATGGAAGGGCACGGCTCCGAGTCCTAAACTTCGGCTCCTCACTATACCGCTGCGCTCTAATGGTGTCACTGCGATCGACAACGAAAGATCTGCAACGAAACTTCTGAGCTC